AACTCCCTCGGCGTGTTATATCTCTCTATTTGGCCAATTTCTACTATATTTCCAGCCGCGCCCTCAAGCCTGGTAGAGGCTACATGGGCCTGGCAACTGCGATGATTGACAGGCGGGGAGCGGATCTTGGCTTATACCAAGCTATAATCTTACGGGCACGGCATGGGATCAAACACGGTGGGCAGGGGATTCCCCTTGGTTTAGCGGATCATGACTCCGGGGTGCGGGGAGCATTTTACAGCTGTCACAGAGGTTGTAAAATTCTTAAGTCACGCAGTTAAAGCACATGAGACTAAAAAGAAACACAAAGCTTATCGGTAAGCATGTCACTGTCCTGGTGAGGTTTGCAAACCATGTTTGATTTAAAGACAAATATCTCGCAACCTTCAAGTACCCCCCCCCCACCGGCCGACCCTCGCATGGGATCGTCCAGAGTAGGTTAAAAAAACAGTAGAGTGACTTCACTTCCACCAGTCACAGGCGCAGCTTGTAGTTGTAGTACTACCAAACTGACTAAACAGGAAACGCAACTTAACTGTTTAAAGCTGTACTGCGGCACACATTTCGGAAATGGATCACCAAGCCCCCATGCAAGGTAAGACAATAAGCAGTTATAATACTTGTTAGGAATGTGACAGTCTTTGTGCAACAGGGTGATGCGTCGAGTTGGAGATCTGAGTTTTTTTCGCCGTACAATTCCGCACAACATGCGGGACTGACGATGAACCCTACACAATCGACGTGTGCGACAATTTTGTCCATCATTCTGTACAGTTAAGGTTTTGATTGTGGTTAGTGATGGTCATATATATAGTGTATAGCCAGACTAGTATCGGGCCGTTTACCGGTTCCCTTCGGCAGCCAAGAGCCCTTCGCCCGCCATGCGCCAAAAAAATCAAGGTCCCATAGGTACCAAAAAAATTTGTCTGATGATGAAAAGTAAACCATCCATTTATTTATTTATTTTTTTATTTATTACACACATACATAATATACATATTATTAACCACATACATAATATACATGGAGGGCATGGTGGAACAGGTGCACCTAAGTGCACCTTTTCAAGGCCACCATGCCCACATTTAAGGTACCTATGGGACCTTGTTAAGTGCAAACACGGTGCCCGAATCCGACCCCCGGTCGAGAAACACCCCAAAGCAAATATTTGGCTGACGATGTTTACTCAACCATGAGGCAGCGTACGATGGTGCCGGAAGTTTTAACATGCAAAAGTTCTAGTAATACGAATATGTTGGTTTTTGGACCCTTAACGGGTTGAACCCCATACTGACGATGTGATTGATAATTGTTCTCTGTACAGTAAAGCGTTTTGCTGGCCGGCGGTAACGTCACATTGATCGATGTTTTTTTGACATGCAATGACAAAGTTTCTCATGTCGTTCCAGGCACAGACATGACCCGTACCCGTGTGCTGAACAGGCTGGCTGCGGAGGTCGGCTCCTGGCAGTGGAAGAGAATCGCCAGAGAGATCGGGCTGACGGATGCCGAAATTGACGCCATTGAGGTATGGTCCTAGGTTCCCCCCTCTCTCTCCCTCTCTGTCTCTCTCTCTCTCTCTCTTCTCTCTTCTCTCTCTCTCTCTCTCTCTCTCTCTCTCTCTCTCTCTCTCTCTCTCTTTCTCTCTCTCTATCTCTCGTAACGAAGAGAAAGGGGCAAATACGAAAAATACTCATTTTCACCCGAGTTAAGTGAGGAAAGCCATGTAAAGTGTCTTTCCCAAGGGCGCAAGATCGGTGGCATGTCAGGACTCGAACTTTGGTTCCGAGTCTAGCATTAGTCTGCCGCAACGCCACACGGCCCCCCTAATTCTGGCCATTCGCCATGTTTACACATTTTAAAAATTTTTGTAGGAGTTCGCGCCTACGAACCTGCACGAGAAGGCTTACCAGACGTTCCACCACTGGAAGATGAAGAAGGGCAATTGTGCAACTCTGGACGTCCTGGCCGGACACCTGAGGGCCATCAACATGGCGGCTCTGGCAGACAAGCTGGAGGACCTTCGGAACCAAAATGATGGTAAGCTTCTTGAAAATGGTAGCTAACATATACTTTTATAGCTGCAAAATGCTCAATAATAAGAATATTACTGTTCTTGGCTGTACAGAAGCAGAAGAATAACTCTAAACTGCATTTGACAGACAGAATCTGTGTATGTCTCTGTACATTTCAATCCACCCTCTTTTGTCTCTTGCTAAGTCTCTAGGATATTCTAGTTCACGAGACTCAAGACTGATTACATATTTATACAGTAGTAGTAGTTATTGCTGGAATGATGTTTTTATGCATATATTTTCAGATTTTCCTGATTTGAAATGAAGTCCGAGTTTCTCCTGACAAGATTTGCTGCGGTGGAGGCTTACATAAAGATCTATGCAAAAAGTGTCACGTTAACGTCGATAGAAAAGCTATGTTCCTAATATGCTTTCTATGCTGAATATGTTACGTTAAGACTTATGTATGGAGAGAGATATAACGAAATTCACTTCAGCCACTCGTCACTTCAGGCTGGCAGTTAATTTTTAAAGAACAGGTGTAAAAGCACCTATAAATACCCTCATTAAAAGCTTTTCCCTGGTTGAATTTCTTCATATAGATCATAGAGATTTCAAGAGAGAGAAAAGGACAGTAAGATTTTTTACTACAAGATGACCAACGATTGTATAGGACGTAATGTTTAGCGTTTAGCTGCTTTCTATTCTATCCTGAATTTATATTTCATATGAGGCGTAAGGTTGTATATATATTGTTCTTTCAAACTGTAATTGTGTATGCAGATTTCTTTATCAACTTCACAATGTTTCTATATTGTAAAAATATTTTTGTAATTCCCTTCAATGCTCATGGCTTAGGGGGGTAGAGCTGTGGGATCTGCATGGGGTTTCCCACGTGCACTACGAGAGGGTTTTGAGAAGGAAAAGGGAGGAGAACCTCCCCCCTGATGCCCTCGTGGCCATTAGTGATGAGGAGTATCCCGGTGTTAGAGAGGTTATGGAAAAAGCGCTCTGTTATGACTATAAGAAACGGATCAGTGCAGCTGAAATGTCGGATGAGTTTGCGGCCATGTGCGTGAATGCACAGTAACTGAACTATTTTGTCATTTGATGAACTTAAATAGCATGAATGTGTACGTTTCAAAATTTTACTTCACTGTTTTAGAGTTTAGATAACAATCATTGCTTGCGTGGTCTGCTTTTAAATTCGCATTTGACTATGTGTATCGCTACTCAGAGAAAACACTTTACCATTTACAATTCACAAGACACTGACCCTAGATTAGTTTCATTAAAATGATAGATCATGAGATATTCGAGTTTGCTTTTACATAACCGAGTTTCCCTTCTGACTTGCCAGCGCTTTAGTAGTCCGTCTGCTAGTTTAGCGCGGCTGCTCACCAATAGGGAGCGCTGAGTCAAGGAAAGTGCGGTCTGCTTGAATGTCGATGAGTCCAAATCGATATCCTACGTCCAGCGTCCACAACGGCTACTCTCCAAGCAGAGGTTTGGGTTTTGGGGGTATTTTTAGCGTGTTTTTAGGCTTTTTTTATCGGGATTTCTCTTTTGCACTGAATTTTTTTCTTTTGTTTGGTGGGAAAAAAATTCAGTGCAAAAGAGAAACCCCGATAAAAAAAGCCTAAAAACACGCTAAAAATACCCCCAAAACCCAAACCTCTGCTTGGAGAGTACACAACGGCGCCCTCGCTCATTAGGAAACAAACATCACAAAAGCAGAACGTCCGTACCTATCCACCTGGAGTTTGTTCCGTGGACCCACAGTAGGTAGTATTGCGTAACGTGCGTATTGCGTAAATGGTACGGTGCGGCTAGTACGGTGCGGCGTGGCAAATTTAAACGGGCGCGGGTTCGAATCTCTCGAAAAATGCAAGATAACCAGAAGCAAACTCACAGCTTAAGTTTCGGTGTAGCTTGTGTTTGTGGTATTTGTGTCGAAAGGCTTCTTACTTCTTTCGTACCCTCATAACTCATATGTAACTTACATCGAGGCTCGATACAGGACCACAAACGAAAGAACAGTACACACGAACAGACACACGGCACACGGTATAGGCGGTCATGCCAGTAGGCGGCAACCTCCTAGTCCGTACGCTGCGTCTGCGTTTAGTGTTCTGTCCTGTTCACTTCAACTACGCCTGCGGTTGTAACCCGCCGTTCCCTACTACTCGTATTAGTCTTTTGTTGTGGAATGTCTGTTATATGTCATTATTTTATTTTGATGTGCCAAGTTGGCAGGAGTGGGTTGGTGGGAGCACTTGGACAGTAACCTGTCGTGGGTAGCTTGGCACATCCTTTGCACATCCTTGGCACATCCTTTTTCTATTCCCCTTCCTTTGTCTATGTCTCTGTCACGTCGAAAATTTAAAAAAGAAAAGAAAATAGTTAAAAAACCTCCTGTCTCTCTTGTCTAGTTTTCACTCCTTTTTGATTTTGTTATACCCCAATTAAAAACGGGCAAAGACCGAGGGTGACAGGCTGCGTCTGCGTTTTTAGTGTTCTGTCCTGCGGTTGTAACCCCCCGTTCCCTACTACTCGTATTAGTCTTTTGTTGTGGAATGTCTGTCTTTTATGTCATTATTTTATTTTGATGTGCCAAGTTGGCAGGAGTGGGTTGGTGGGAGCACTTGGACAGTAACCTGTCGTGGGTAGCTTGACACATCCTTTTTCTATTCCCCTTCCTTTGTCTATGTCTCTGTCACGTCGAAAAGTTAAAAAAAAAAGAAAATAGTTAAAAAAACCTCCTGTCTCTCTTGTCTAGTTTTCACTCCTTTTTGATTTTGTTATACCCCAATTAAAGACGGGCGCACTGTTAGAAACAGTGCTTTATAACAAAAATATTTGATGTTCAAACAGTGCACTTCCACTTCAAACATAGCAGTCAACAAGGTGCACTGTTGGAAACAGTGCTTTATAACAAAATATTTGATGTTCAAACAGTGCACTTCCACTTCAAACATAGCACTTCAAACCGGCTATTCCACTTTCCTACAGGGTAGGGAGGTTGGGGTCCGGGTGGAAACCACAGCGGTTGAAACATGAAACACGCATTGACCAGCTGGTATTAACCACACTGACTTGGCATAACCTTTCTGGTGTGTTTTGTTTTAATTTTAAACCAAGTGTGGTGATTTACAACCTTCATGCTGTTCCTCCCCTCCCTCGATTTTAATGGCAGATTCGTTCCTGGATATAATAGAAGTTTATTGCAAATTAAAGCAATAAGGCAGCGCGGCGACGCAGCGGCGCACGCCACTATCACTGGCACATCGGACCCCACTACCACAGCGCACGGGAACTGTAACAGCAAATATATTTAAGTATTTGAATCTGTATTCCTGCACGCCGTGGAAATGGATCACCAAATTCCCAAACAAGGTAAGACGATTATATCAATTATACAGCCAGTACACTACCACAAGGCACGTAAAGTTTAACAGCAAATATATTTTAGTGTTTGAATCTGTATTTCTGCACGCTGTGGAAATGGATCGCCAACTTCCCATACAAGGTAAGACAATAGAACAATTATTCTTAGAGGCGTGAATAGATGTTATATGAAGTTAGATTCAAATAGTTCGTTTTGAAGGTAAAAATGGGGTACCTGAAAACTCCACCGTAAGTTATACATGTTAACAGAGAGTCACCCTGATTTCTTCCTGAATTCTGCTTTGGGGCATTAATAGTTTGGCATGGATTTCAGACTTACTGTTTTCTGATCTATATTTGCTTAGAATATAAACTTTAATAGGGGTGAAATTTGGATGGATCAGATATATTCTTCCCTATAATCAAGGAGGCCCTAGAATAGAGACCACTACATGTACATGTCGCAGGTTCATGTGTCGTAGATTCTAGCGGTCTGTCGTCTGTGATAATGAAATCACCACCTGAAAGTTTTCTTCTACACAGTGCAGAAATTTGCTTGTGGTTGGTGAGAATATACATGAACATATATCACAGTTTACTGTGTACTGTTACGGTCTGTATGATAGAATTGTCTGCAAGTTCAACAGCTCTCGGGACTACTAGTATGTGCAGCGCGGACAAATATGAAGTTTCAAGTCCTCTGATATGCCATCATCCTTTAATATTTTGGCCAATTTCTTTCAATTTCTGCCCACCAACAGGCTGGTTCGTGTCTTCAGTCTAACAAGTACGTTTACAATACAAGTACAAGTTACACACTAGCGGGCCCGGTATAAGCCTACCGCGAGCTTGTCGGACCCTCCTCGGTGCTGGGTGCGTTGCCCGTCCGCCGAGGTTATTCAGCGCGCCCCGGTACGTTTTATTAGCCTCCACCAGGCCTTTCTACGTCAAGCGTACTTCTACGGGCGACTTTTAACCTACTGTAGCAGGGTTTTCTTTTGCACCAGCCACTGCGCGCTCGTGGTGTTGTGTTCTGTGTTGACGGTGGTGTGCGCGGGCCTGTTTGCCGGGCTGGCCGTGTACTTCAGGTTGATATGTCGAAGATTCTAGTGGTCTGTCGTCTGTAGGTGCAAGTGTGGTGATAATGAAATCCCCACCTGGAAGTTTTCTTCTGCACAGTGCAGAAATTTTGCTTGTGCTTGGTGAGAATATACATGAACATATATCACAGTTTACTGTGCACTCTGACGGTCTGTATGATAGAATTGTCTGCAATTGTCAACAGATCTCGGGACTATACCGTATAGTATACGTGTGCAGCGGACAAATTACTAGTATGAAGTCTCAAGTCCTCTGATCTGCCATACTTTAGTCAATTTCTGCCCACCAACAAGCTGTGGTTCGTGTCTTCAGTCTTACAAGTACGTTTACAATACAAGTACAAACTGTTACGCACTAGCGGGCCTGGTATAAGCTTACTAATCTCCAAGCAGATTCGGTGGGGCAAGGGGACTTTATATTGGCCTTCTGTATCCATTGGCCGCCTGTATCCAATGGATACAGAAGGCCAATATAAAGTCCCCTTGCCCCACCGAATCTGCTTGGAGATTAATTTTTAACAGGGTGGGAATCGCGCGTGAGTCACAGCAGGAGCTAACAAAGCGGGCTGCCCTTCACTTGACACCATCCAATCAGCGCGCTGTATTCGCAAATAAAGATTTGTAATTGGCTGACGGTGTTTACCCAGGGTCACAGGTAGCTTCGATATAGCTGCTCAGACGAAGGTGAGTTGTGAATGTCGTCCCCTGACATAAGGTCATTTTTTCCACTCTACTCGTTTTTTCCCTCTCCTCGTACTTTACCTAATTGTCTCACAAAGGCACGCCAAAACAAGGCAGGTTCGGGAGGTGGGCCAACATAGGGCAAGGGGAAGGTGGAAACCTGTCCAACATAAACATCGATTGCTCTTGGTAAAATGCTACGGTTGAAACAAGAAACTTACAGATTGACCAGATGGTAACTAAGTCACCTTTTTGGCGTGATTTATTAATCATTAGACAGGTAGTTTACAACAACTTCATACTCATCCTCCCCCTCCCGTTCTAATGGTAGATTCCTCCACACGCGTCACCGTGTGTTTGGCATTACACCCACACTACCACAGTACATTTATGTTCAGTATCAAAGTGTTTGAAGCTGTATTTCTGCACAATCTGTGGAAATGGATCAACAACGTCCCACACAAGGTAAGACAATAAAACAGTTATACGTAGAGGCGTAAATATATAAATATATAAATTTATATCATTAGTTCGATCGAGAATTTTGTCATGGGGCACCTGAAAACTAGCCTGGGTGCCATCCTATCTG